CGTCGTTTTTTTTTTTTCTTTTCTCTCTTCTCCAATTCAAAGGCTGAGCCTTTGAACATTCCGGGAATGTTAGAGGTTGAATTTCTCAACCCATCTCAAAAAAGATCTGTTGAACAAGTTGGCGCATGCTTGATCATCACCATTTTCCCAGCGTGTGGAGTTTTCAAGAGTCTCAGAGGAAGTCTTGTCTTGGGTCTATGCTATGGAATTGACTGGTTCTTGTCCATATTCTTACACTTGAAGCGGCTTTCCCTTGCTTTTTGAAACTTCTTTCTCTTTCTTGAGGACTTGCTGGGAGTTGGCCGTTGGCCGGTACCGTGCAACACGAATTATGATTGCATTTTTTCGATCTTTCGATCTGTGAGCTTGAGCTTGACTTGACTTGATACCAACTGCTATCTGCAGCGGCAAATACATTTTTACTTTCGTTTGCATTTATTACCAGTATTGTAGTTTGTATAGTTTTGAGTTTCGCCAGTACGGGACCTCTGTCTCGACATGGGCGCTTAGCAATGTAAATCTCTCACGCGCCCTATCCTGAAAGACAGACGCACATTACAATCACATTGATCTGTGGAGTCTATGGGCGTCTGCTTGCTGTATGACCATGCGGCATGACGAGTCTTGGCAGGTGAAAGGCGCTTGCATTCTCCATCTTATCCCGATCTGCGGGGTGTTCCCTCGCCCCCAATGCAGGGCCGCTCGAAATTTTTTTTTTTTTTTTTTTCAATTTCAATTTCATTTGTTTTGGAACTTTCTCTTGCATCAGACTATATCTATTATAATTAGGCTGCTCCTGGCGCCGTGCTTAGCGTTTCCCTAATACCATTGTAAATACTTATAAGCCTTTGTAAAGGGATTTACCTTGAGAACCTAGCAAACAGACACTCCCCTTCACTACTCCTATGTCTAAATGACGGACTGGAGGTCTTGCTGTGCGTCAGACCTTGCAGAATACCGGCTTATATTACTTGCGTATCGTACCTCCAGACTACTCATGAACCTGTTTATCGTACTACCTAAACCACCAGCACAAAACAAATCATTACAAGCTAGGGATAGACTATACAAGAGGGAATGAGGACGGCGACTAACTAGCCAAGGTTGCCAGAAAGCTCAGCACCGTCATGATATACGTTAGGTCATCCTCGGGTCACGCAGCCGATAGCCCTTTTCAGCAACCCGATTGAGTTTGTACCAGACTCGCCATATGTAGTTTCCCGCCCTAAGTTATCCTTAGTTACTACTTCTGAAATAAGCCTCGCTTTCAACCTGATCATCCCCCGAGGCTCTTCAACACGCCGAAAGTCTTACCCGAAGGCAGCCACGATTGCCTATGGTTGATCCATAAGCCTAGAAAGAGGAGCCACAAAGACCCAACTAGTTTACCTCCATTTGCTGTTGCACTGAATTTCAGTATGGCGAGCAACTTACAAAGTTAGTCCCAGAGCATCCCTTGAGATTTTGTAACAGTGCGGCTAGATTCGGCGGCCGAATCTGATATTCATATTCAAGACCAACTAGACAGTACATGAAGAGAATTATGCGAACTCTCAAGGAATGCACGACACTATGGAGGTGCGTAAAGTGCTCTCCGTGTATTAATCCAACGCAAGAGCTCGGCGGAGCCTTTAGCTCGTCCCCTCCTCTTAATCAATGGTGGAAATACAAGCCCCCTTTTCAATTCTTCACGGTCGAAGGTCCTAGTGTGCACGTGTCTCCCGGGGCCCTTTTCGAAACTATTCCACCGCAGTGGCTGCTCAGTATCCCAGGTTGGTTGCAGATTCACCATCTCATAATGTTTCTTCCTGTCCTCCCCTTCCTCTTGCTCTCCTTCCTGAACACATTTCCCATACAAATTTGAGAAACTGACGCTCTCTAAGTTTGGCATTAGTTGATTCAGCTGCGAGAATATAGGTGGCCATGACCCGACAGTCAAAGTACACTCGTGTAATGTGAAAGAGTTGAGGTTGGGATGCTTTTGGAGGAATAGCAGGATCGACTCCTCTTTTGCCGGGAGCCCGGAAAATGCACATTTTTCCAGCATGGGGAATTGGGTTTCCTGGGCGATCATGTCAATGATCCGGTCGTAGCTGTCCAACATCCCGTCTCTAAGGGTGTTACGGAAAGATAAATCTAACTCTCGAAGGGCATGCGCAGACTTGAGTAGAGATGCGATTCCCGGTATCCCATCAGCTAACACTGCACGAGGATCATTAATTGATAAATATTCCTCTCCTGCTTCCTCGTATTTCCGCCGAGCTTTGGCAGAGTCAACACCATTCGGTACCTCCGCTGACATACTAAGCTCGAGTGATTCCAGATCCTTGCTCACTGTATCTAGCTGCTTTGGATCGAGAGCTGATATATAGATAGTTATATCACCAGATGGAATACAACATCTAGGAGTATGCCGATATGCATCGAATTTCTTCACTGAGACCCCGCTCTGTGCCATTGCTGTCACAACTATAAAGAATACCTGTGATGCTCGCATCCAGAGAGGATGCCACTTCCCCTGCGAAGCCGATTCTCTCTGCGTAGGTCCAATGATAAATGCACTATCTAAATGGATAGAATGCAATGCAGGGAATCCTTTGAGCGCGAGTTGCAGAAGCTCAATCATCTCGCTTATCCTCTCGTTGGCTCTTGCTTTTTGCTGCTCCTTTAACCAGTTCAGATTCGATTTGGCGGTTGCAAGTTCCTCGGGGGAAAACTTGGTCACGGTCGCTTCGAACATAGGTCCATGGTTTCGCCGTACAGTGTGTGTCCCAGAAATCAGGTTCTTCTCCGCTACAGAAGAGTCCAGGCTCGTGGCAAGGAAAGTCAGAGAATGGATCATCTTGCCGAGGGCAGAATTGCACGCCAAGGCATGAAGGGAACGAAGATTCTGCGTGGAAACATCGACAATCGGTTGTTGTATGAAGCTTAAAAATCGGGGTCCGAGACACTTTTCCGCGAACTCTCGGCTTGTCAAACGGAGAGCCTTGATCGAGTCGAGATCCAAATATATGAGTATTGTCTCCAAGATTTCTGGAGACATTGTGGTCCAGTCAATACCAAAGGTTTTAATTCGCCCTGAATCGGATATTTTCATGAATACGGTAAGGCGAAGTGTTGAGAAGTGAACACCTTTTTCTTCTGAGGGGTTGTTTGGGGGCCGAGACTAATGACTCGGAAGATATGTCTACAAGGTGGGGGCATTGCTCAATCACGAATCAGACTCATAGTCGTTCAGTCTCAGTCAAGTCTGCCAACAAGCCGCGCGGTCTAATCTGGTGGAGCTAGATACGCTTTACCACAATTTTTTGGCACTTTTGTGGACAAGTTTGACGATGGCTTCTTTGCTCGCTAGAAATTGCCGGGGCAGATAAGACTATATCCGATTGATTTGCTGGCCTGTCTCCGAATTTTATCCAGATCCGATCGTAATCCGTTTTCCAATGGGTCGGAGCTTACTCCACCCACAGCTGTCTGCCTCGCTTAGCATTGAAGCCATCGTTGAGTGGACCACTCGTGGTTGATTGAGAGATGGTGCTTCCCGAGGAAACCTGCTTCGGATGAGCGACATTGAGGTATCCAATGTATTGATATTCCATGTGAATACATGCCTGGAATTGTTTTATAGCTTACGCATGAAGGAACAAGTACGAGAACAAAGAGGTGAAACTGATTTCGAGCGGTTCCGTATGCAATGCAATACTACCCACCAAGACCCCGCATGATGCCTTCAAGGGTAGACCGCCTGTTTTTTATCTCGGGCGCGTAACTTGCAGAATACCTAAGTTTAGATTATGACTTTTCCATGATATTATATATTGAATATTATATACAGGCACAATGCTGAGGCTCTGTGGAAAATAGGACGCTGATATTCAAAGGCATCAAAAGTCTGCATAGTTCGCTTGAATACACAGAGTCATTTACGCTAACTAATTCACAACGAAAGTCGATCTAGGGAACTGTGCTAGCCTCGACCAAAGCAATGTGAGAAAAACCCTCGCATAGTCTACGCATCGCCTAACCATCTAAGCCTAGTGATATCTTAGGCCAAGGTCAAAGTGCGGCGAAGAACAGGCCCGCAACCGCGTCAGACCTTCTCGGTCAACTTCCGAATAGCGATCCTTGATCGCTTAAATCGGGCTCTTTCCGTCGGTGCTGTAGAAAGACAAGCAGACGGAAAGCCCTTTATGGGTGGCTCACGCCCTCATTCGGGCCCATTCCCCGCGTATGAGCAATGATGGAAGCAAGCCAAATCAGAGTGGCTCACTAGGTATCGGTACGAAACTCCTGGCAGGGGGATTTGCTGGGACGCCAGAGACATTAATAACTGTACACGACTTCCTCTGGCGCTGATCATGATACGCGCATATATCAGGCCGACAATCTAGCCGACATTGTGACATTTAGTATTCCTAGTTTCTCAAAACTATTCGTCAACTTCCTAAAAGCAGCATCTCCGCACGTCCATCATCTCTCTCTCTATTACGTGCCACCATCCACACACATGGCCTGTCCGGGCTATACGCGGGTTGTGTCGCTCTCGCAAGCAGCAACGCACTCAAAGCTTCCATACGGTTCTTTGCATTCTTTGGCAGCAAAGACTGGCTTGACACGTTTGGAATCCTTGATAAAGTTACAGTCACTCTGCTGGCTGGTATCATAGCTGGGGTTGCAGAATCAATTCTTGTTGTTACACCCGCGGAAGCACTGAAGACGCTTCGGATGTCTCCTCATTTCATGGGCAATTACTTAGCTATTCAAACGTATTCAAACGTATTCCACTTTTGGGTCGTACAAAAAAATCGAGCTCAAATTGAAAATGACAGAAAGTCTCATACCCAAATACGATAATGAAGTGCACACGCCACCATGAGCATATATAATTTCTCATAAGAACAAAAGCTCCAGCCCCCCAGCCATCGTTCATTTATGGACGCACCACATCAGTCAACCTTGTTCTTGGGAGATCCTAAGTTTCCAAGTCAATACCGATAATCTTAGACCGCCGTTGCATATTCCACATGCTTGGTATCCATGATTCTCGGGTTCTTCTCCTGCTCCTGAGTCTGGTCACCATCTGTGTCTGGGCTTAGCTGAGCGCCTCGTCGACCGACCTGATACCAGGGCAGAGAGAATAGGCTGTCCGTGCTTTCAAGCGATCGTCCTGCCAGTTCTGGGACGAAGAACCACACCCAGACAAGACCCACGAGACTGACAGCCGCACTGAAAGCGAAGAATCCATAGCTTTGCAATGAAATAAGCATGGTCGGGACAGCTTTTGTGTTGCCGAACTGGTTAATGAAATGCAGGCACATCACAAGAGAGCTACCCAAAGCACGGAGGCGAAGTGGCCAGATATCGGCATTGACAAGGTACTGGAATGAGTTCCAACCCATCGTCCACCCAATTCCAGAGATATAGATCATGGCAATCGAGCCGACAGCTCCACGGTGTTGAGAAGGTGTCAAATTTCCGGAATCCAAAGTCTCTGTGCCAACGACGCCAAGGTAAATTGCAATATACAACAGTGAGATCGTTTGTAAGGAGATGCCCATGTATAGAGACCGGCGTCGGCCAATGAAGTCAATCAATAAGAATGCACAAAGATAGGCAGAGACCAGTTTCACAACGCCGAGGATGCAGCTTGCAAATAGCTTCTCCGACTGGCCAGTCTTGCCGAGAACTCCAAAAAACTCGGTTGCATAGATTGTGATGGAGCTAGCACCCGACCATTGACCCAGAACTTGAGACATAAAGCCGAGCATCAGACGATATCGATTCGCAGGAACCAACAAAAGCTCACGGACCTTGCCCCATCGGGACACACCGTGAGATGCCTCCTGCTCTCGCTCAAGCTGATTTCGAATACCAACAATCTCAGCCTGGAGATATGGGTGACTCGCCTCTAAGCATCGAATATTTGCGAGTGCCTTTTCCGCCATCTCATGTTTTCCCTTGATTGTGTAGAATCGAGGGGTTTCAGGAATAGTGAAAGATAACACAAGGAAGAAGCTTCGGTAACCGTAATTAGCCTAGCCAGTAAATAATAAGGAGAGGAACTCACGCCGCGAATCCAATATGCGAAAATTGGGGTGCAACCCACTGCCAACGTGAATTATTCGGCAAATTAACTGACGCCCTCCAGTTGCTGAAGAAAGCGATGGTAGCCCCCAGGTAGACCGAGCCAGCGAATATGTTAGTCAACATACCACGCACACTCTTCGGCGCGATCTCAGCAATATACATTGGACTAACAACTGTAGTCATTCCGATCCCCAAGCCGGCAATGAAACGGCCCGCAAGGATTTGGGGAACATTGCCATAGCTCACAATGACGATTACAAAACCCGTGAGCCATAGCAGACACAGACTTTGCAGAGTACGGACACGGCCAAACCGGTCGCAAAGAAGGAAAGCTAGGAATGAACCAACGATACTGCCAAGCTGAACCATGCTCGTAATATTGGAGAGAACATTGGCCTGGTGGCTTTCGGATCCCGCATCCAAATGAAATTCGTCCTTAAAGCTTTGTAGGCTGACCATACCACCCACTAATGCCTCATCGAGACCACGGCTAGCACCAAGGAGACCTATTTCGTTAATCAGATATGCCACAATATATCAAGCAACAATGCATCTCACCAAACACACCGGCGCTCCAAAAGAGCTTCCAGTTCAACACTTCTCGAGGTGTATCGCCAATATTGAAACCCATTTTGAAGATACCAGTGAGGATTTCTGGATATCTTGCGGAAGAGAGCAGCAAAAGCTTTTTCTTGGGGAGAAAAAATCCGAGATCGGCTTTGGGTCATACGGGTTTTATATTGCGCTTGAACAAAAGCCACCACCAGTAGTTACTTAAGGAGCATGTCCGACAGTCTTCTTCTTGCGGGGAACTGGGGATTGCGGGGGATAAAAAAATGCGCCATTTACGGTAACTAACTATGACTCTCGGTCAACTTCCGAACGTCGTCACAGAATTCATAGGATGAAGCTAAGATGCGACTCGTGCGGAGCTTGTCCGAGGACATGGTCGGTGCGATTTGACTCTGACCCAAGCAACGTTCAACCGAACTTTTCCCGGCCGCCCCGAAAACGATACACGGCTCATCTTGCAATTGCCGGAAATTCGGTCGATGTGAACATGAAAATAGCTGGTATTATTTGATTGAAAAGCTCAGACAAGATCTGAGATGGTGGTTTGAGCCAAAAATTCAGACTCGAAATACGCTCTTCGCGCTCAATGGAGCACTGTCCATGTCATCCCACCCTCAGGGCCCGCCCCCACAAACTGTCGTTCGAATTTCAGATAACAGCTCATACATGGAAGTATTGGGCACAATATTTGCAGTAGGCTCCAAAATTTGATTCTGTATGAGTGTGCATGGAATGCAGTACTGCCCACCAAGACCTGCATGATGATGCCTTCGAGGGTAGACCGCCGCTTATTTACTACGGGTGCGTAGGTTGCAGAAAACCTAAACTTGGAACATGACTTTTATTCATGATGTCACATATATGTACATCCGCGGTAGGTTTAGTCCTACAGTAAGCTGCGATGTCTGATAAAGCTGTAAGGCTGGGGTTTGCGCTGCCGCTGGGTGCCCGCGTTGGGCGGTTAGGCGGGTTGTGTGATTCGATTTTATTTTTGGCAGCGGCGAGACATGGATATGTGCGGAGTAATAAGACGTTAGTTTGTGGGTGAGAGACTTTTAGTATGATTCTGAGGTTTCTTTTTACTTAGGATATAATCTTGGATATTTACGTATAAGTCATCGAGGAGCGCCGTGTCTTTTGGTGAGTTTGGCGCTGGCACTTCTACGGAGCTGCCATCTATGGTAAGCGAATGCGCGATTAAGCCATTCACTTAGTCTACCTAATTTTGAGCAATAATGTATGGTATGGTTTGAAATGATTCTTTGAAGATGGACGGCTGATTTCCTTATAAATATCTCACAATGGTAAGACCAGGACCAGACGTATCTACTGAGATCAGCAATGCTGACCTTCCTGTCATGTTTGCCATTAAATATCCTCGAAATTTCAGAGATGAACAAGTTACACAAAACAATTGGCCAAAGTATATACGCTTCAAGGCATCTTTATACACTGCATTATCCATCATTGACTTGCGACTGCCCCCTTGTTAATCAGATATTCGGCAATGGCTTGGAAGTTTTCAGGCCGATGAAAGAACCGTTCCTGTTTAGACAGTTCCTCAGGTGACGGCGTAGCTCTAGAGAGTGCGAAGCCGAGTGCAGTACTAAACCCCTTGAACCGAAATTGAAGATTGACATCTGCCTTGCCCTCTTCCACAAGATACCGAACTATTGTCGGGTCCCCTTTGTCTACAGCATGGCCCAGCGGGCTAGTATAATCGCCATCCGAGACGGGGAGGAGGTTTACGTCCGCCTGAGCTTTCTCCACGAGATACTTCACCGTCTCTGGGTCTCCAAAATTAGCTGCTGCCGCAAGCGCACTACCATAAAGCCCAGCCTCAAGTAGTAAATTCACGTCTGTCTGAGCTTCCTCCACGAGGTATCTCACAGTCTCTAGGTGTCCGCATCTAGCAGCGGCAGAGAGCGCACTGCCACACTAGAAAAGAATTCGCGTCAGCCAAAGCTTTTTCCATGAGTTATATCACTCTGTCTCGCTCCATAGAACCGGTGTCACTTACAAGACCATTGGCGTCGGGGCTGGCTCCTTTCCGGATAAGTTCAGTGCATAAAGGCAAACAATTAGTCAGAGCAGAAATCGTAAGTACACTGTAAGATCTCTCATTCTTCTGGTTGGGATCGAAGGTCTGGGTGTCAAACCACTCACGGAGGACCTTGTATAGCGAAGAGCACACTATGGCAAATACTGGCGTCGTGACAGGAGCGAGATCTTTTGAAACCAGCGTGACAGTGCTAAGAGAATGGAAATTGATATAGTACCAGTCGCGGTGATTGAACACGTATTTAGCCCATGTGACAAAGAAAGGACTACTTTCTTCCAGAGAACCGAGGAATTGTTTCAAATATTTTATCGATTCGTCGGTCTCCACCTGGTGAACGGCATAGAATGGCCAACATAATTGAATATGTTTAGAAAAAGGATGTTTTGGATCGAATGGATCCTGAGCACCCTTGACTAGAAGATCCGAAGAGCTCTGTACCGACTTTGGGTCGATCTTTGAAATATTGGTTGGGCTGAATGTGTTGATAAGAGACCAAAAGCACACTTGTGCGCAGAAGGAAAAAGCTGGTTGGGTAAGATGATGGGTCGTTTAAAAATATTCTCGGGCAGAGAGATGGAAGAACCTCCATCTATCCTCGGAGTCAACCATTAACAAATTCCCTGGTCTCTTTTTTCAATGATAACAATCTCAAGTGCTACATGCAGTAGCCTAATCACCCTTTCATTTCTAATTAAACCTTAATCCTGGATCACTCACGTGCTCAACCTATGATGATTTCCGCAGAAATTGACTTCCGACCGTTCCCCGGCCAGATCGACAAATCCGACCGTTCCCCGCACATCCATCAACGCACTCCATTATCCGTGCCAACCCCGGATGTTCAATTGCATTACCCAAAATCAATATGGCCCCATCAGAAGAGGTAGATCACGACGTGACTCAAGCACGCGCGTCTAAAAGACGTCGCGTCGCGGTCGCCTGCGATGCATGTCGAACGCGCAAGTCCCGCTGCGACGGCGTGAGACCGCAATGCTCGCTATGTCGAGATCTGGGGTTTGAATGTGTGTATACACCACCACCGACGGCGACGAATGTTATTGTGCAGAAGGATTATCTGCATGGGCTTGAAGAGAGGGTCAAGAGGTTGGAAGAGGGCATGGTGGGTGTTAGAGGGGAGATTGATGGGTTGGTTGGGCGAGTTGATGGTGTGCAAGTGCAGGGTGTTGCTACTGGAGATGCTGGTTCGAGTGGCAGTTTCGCAACTGCAAGGAGGATCGAGGATGATTCCGGGCAGAGAGTGGTTGATGTCTCTGGGTCGGATCTTATTGGGACGGAGGATTCGGTTGATGCGATGGGCGCGGTGACATTTGCTGATGAGGAGGATTCGGGATTCTTCGGTTCGGATAACCTCAAGTCCTGTTGGGCCGGTATAAGTGCTAATAACTGCTGAGTAGGACCTTCGTCTAATATTGCATTCTTGAGACACCTCTCGAGGGCAGTTGTCCAACAGGGGTACCTCCTTTCACCTGGTGCAGCGGAAGGCGGCTTCGTCAATGCTTCACGACCACCCTCACCACCTCGCCAAGCATCTTATGATCAACGGTCAAAAGTCAACATGTTTGCGCTGCCTCCTCAGTCGGAGACACTGGCGCTAATACAACGGTATTTTTCCGAAACGGGGCTGCTCTTCCCGTACATATATCCGCCCGTCTTTTTGGAGACATATCATCAAATGACGGGAGAGAATTTCAGCAAAGTACGACGAACGTGGCTTGGCTTGTTGAATATGGTTTTGGCAATGGCTACAATCACTGCTATGCCTGGTGGTGCGAGAGCCGATGCCCGGATCTCCGAGTCGGATGTTTTCTATCAACGTGGTCTGGGGTTGTGTGGAAGTGAGATCTTGCGAGGGACAACTCTGGAAGTTGGTAAGATGCACTTAAAAGATAGTCCCGCGAGAAAATTGACTCGCTAACTGATCACAGTACAATATCTCCTGCTCATGGGTCAATACCTACAAGGCACACAGAAGTCTGTTCAGGCTTGGACCGTGCATGGATTAGCGGTCAAAGCTGCGCTTCAGCTTGGTTTGCACTCGAAGAATGCCTCCAGGTCCTTTGCACCACTTGAGCAGGAGACTCGCAAGCGAACTTGGTACGGTTGCGTAGTACTTGACAGGTAAGGACGGATGGCTCGAGAAGGCTGTACTATCAATGCTGATCCTTGATATTCTAGAACTTTGAGTATGACCTTCGGAAGACCTAGCTCGATTCCAGACAACTACGTGAAACTCGAACTGCCCTCAAAACGAGACTTCGAAAAAACATCAGCGTTTGTGGATGACGAAACCTCTTATCTCAGCGTGTCCTTCTTCAACTCAACGATGTAAGTATCAACAGCACCCAACCCACGACGTACTCTCTAACCTCATCCCAAGCACCTTATACAAACAATTATGGAACGTTCTCGACCTCCTCTACGGTCAGAATATAGGCTGTGATACCCCCCTCTCCGTCAGCGAGACAGTCGCCCACATCTTCAGCATGGAACAACAACTTTTCTCCTGGGAACGCTCCCTCCCCCCATCCCTCCAACTCGTATCAACAAGTATCCTCACCGAAATGCCTCCAGAACAAACATCCTCAAGCTTTCAGTACTTCTCCTGGAAATTCCGCGTCATCCTCACCCTCCGATATCTCAATCTCCGGGTTCTACTACATAGACCCGTGTTAGTGAAATTCATCGCTGCGAGTCGCTGTCCCGATCGTGATCCGCGGGATTTGGAACTTCTGCAGCAAATGGGGATGAATAGTATGCAGATTGTCGTTGACTCTGCCATGGATATTATTGATATTGTGTGGAGGGTTGTTTCGGAGCCTGGGTGGAAGCAGAGTTTGCTTGGGGCGTGGTGGTTCTCATTATATTATAGTAAGATTGTCCTGACGTCGTGGCGGAGTAGTGAAATTCCTGCTAATCTCTTTCTAGCATTCAATGCAGCGGTGGTTCTGATCGGTACGGTCTGGGTTTATCGAGACACGAGCCTTTGCAGCGCTTCGATGACTGCTCAAGCTAAGAAAGTGCAGCAGTACCCATCTCGCGCAGTGATGGCTCTTTCCAAGCTGGACGATGGGAATCGACTGATTGATCGGTGCCGGTATTATCTGGAGCAGTTTAATAATATCTTGGTTGATCCTGGTAAGTCTATTCCGTTTGCAGTAACCCATATTACTTTGGCATATTGCTAATATCACCTAGAAACCGATCTTGATGGCCTGATGCCCGTACTGCCAGCGCTGGCGGGTATTCGTGGCGCCAACCCAGCCGCTAATTATAGTCTTTCGCCGTTTGGAATGGAGCTGGGAGAGTTCATGATAGATGACGATTTGGTGGCTATGATAGATAAGCATGGTCTTTTACCGCAGGATGCGGGATCAGCATACCCTGTATAATATGTTCAATATTACCAGAGCTACCCGGAGGTAGCAAAGCATGAACGACCAACAGGAAATATCGCATGATTAGGTATATGTATTATGGCGAGGAATTACTCCTGATAGCAACCAAATGCTTATTTATCCCTTCGCCAAGCGCTATCCCATCCGTTCCACTCACTCCCCGTTCATCTTCGCCAAATTAGCCTTATGCGCAATCTTCGCCAGCAACGGCGCCATTCCAGCATGGTTACACTCCGGCTGGAACCTCTTAGTCAACAACGGCGAAATCTCTTCCACCTTCGCCTCGTCGATACCATCCCTCTTCGAGAAACTGAATCCCGGTGTCCGCTGCACACAGCTGTACTGCGCATCCGCACCGCGCAGCGCACAAATCTCATTCTTCGCACAATCCCCCGTGCAAGCGGGCACATTGTATCCGCGTGTGCGTCTAGCCCAGAATTCATTGAACACTGACGAATCCTTTTCCATGGCGACGGTCACATTGTGCCAGAAGGCCGGGGTGAGTTCGGCGGTGTCGTCGGGACGAGCGGAGATTTTAGAGCCGTAGTCCTTCTTGGCGGTATAATAGGGAACCCAATTCGGTTTTGTTTGGAAGCCGGGGTCGCTAATGTTGGCGATATACTGGGTGTAATCCAACACACCGAACGTAACGGGGTCGATGTCGTACACTCGGAAAGAAGGTGAACCGGATGTGGGCGTCATGGATGGGGCGACGTAGCCCATTGCCGTGGCGGTGTTCCAGTTTCGATTTTTGTAGTCCGAGTATGAGATTTGGAATTCGTCCGTGTGCGTGTGTCCGAAGAATAGGCCTGCGATTGTTGCTTCGTATCGCTGGATAATCTGATCAAAGTAGTGCGAGTGGTCGCGGAAATGGTCTACATCTCCCGATGGGATGTGCGAGATTAGCCAGACACGTTGGCCGGCGGTTTCGGCGGATTGGAGTTCTTTGATTAGCCAGGTGAGTTGACCGTCGGGGTCGTATTCCATTGGTTCGGTGTAGGAGAAGAAGTTGTATTTGTAGTAGAAGATGCTGTTGTAGGAGATGATGCGGAGTTTGCTGTTTGGGTGGATGGCAGAGTAGGAGCCGTATTCGTTTGCATTTTGGACGCTATCAATCCCTGTGAGGGCCATCCAGTCGGCTGTGAGGGCGTCGTAGGCCCATTGGGGGTTATATTTGCTGGGGACTTTGCGGGAGGGGAAGAGATTGAGTGGTGCGGCGTCGTGGTTACCCAGAGCAGCGTACACGAGGCCGAGATGGTTCTCCATCGCGCCGTAGGTGGCGTTGAGGTCTTGCAGGACTTCTTCTTTGGTCACGAGCCAGACATCGTGGGCAACGACGTCACCGGTGTAGATTGAAAAGGCCGGGTTGAGCTCTGCGATGGCAGTCATCATGCTTTCTTGGAGTTGGTGAGGAGGATCACATTTAGTGTTGCCGAATGGTCCGCATGGCTTGTCCGTAGTTCCCGGGGCATCTTTGTCACTGTATACACGGCAGCAGATAGGCTTTGAGCAGTCATAGTTGGAGCCGATCTCGTAGGATAGATCGACGTGGGTATCGCTGAAGTGAACCACCTTGATGGGAGGTTTACCGCTCGGTGGTGGGCGATTGTGTGCGGGCTTGGGCGAGGGGAAAGCCAAGTCGAATGGACGGACATCTGGAAAGTCACAAAGACCGACCAGCGCAGAGCAGAGAGTCTTGGCCGTGTGCGAGCCCACATGCATGTTCTTGATCGCGTAATGCAAGGCAGGTACCTCACTGGCGATGACCCCGGCGCAGACATCTCGATCCTCTGCCTGTACAGGAGGATTGGTCAGCATACTGAAATATTCTGAAATGTGCTCATGGCAATGATGACTTACACCGCTAATATCACAGACACCGGTCAATACATCCCCCATGAAGCCTTCACCAAATTCGGCCACAAGCTTGAGACCACCCAAGAGGACCTGAGAACCACCAGATTATTGATATGAGAACTTAGTTCAAATCCTGAAAGATGGACGTACCTGGCAACTGCCACAGTCCACAGCTTCCTTGAAATCGTTCCAAATAGTGCTGATCCAGGTTTCTGTAGCTCCAGCCTGAACCACCGGCAGCGACGCCAAAGGCGCCAGGGCCGCAAAAAGAACTGCCTGCTTCATCACGAGCTAGAACAGTCACAGTCCTAGAAGATCCTCCGGAGCACACAAGCCAAGTATATTAAAGTGGCTATGCGGCCGACTTTATACACCCCTCTTGACCATACCAAGAAAAGGCAGACATAGCTTGTACCTAATATAAACCTCGATCTAACCGAGGACATCTGCACGTCCATCCGCCCAGCCAAACGATCCTACTTCTCATCCAGAACCGGATAGCGTTCCTGCATGACAAGCATAAGCGAAGCGAACATCAAAATTTCCCTCCCACTAGAGATCTCCATCATGGAGATGGACTGCAGCCGTGCAACCATGATTGGCTCTTAATTGTCGATCGCACCTGACAGCATCGCAAGCACACCTGTTCATGGAAAGGGTCCAGAAGACACTAGTTCGTACGTGACCAGTCGGAATGGTTATCGACCGTCATGCCCCGTCGGAGTTTAATGGAGGCCGATCGGGCGACCGAGAGTGGCTTTTGTGTTGCATAGTTACTACATTGTTGACCATGTGGATTGATGCAGCCAAGCGGCTAACGGGTGGGCGTTGCAACACTGAACAGTGCGGTCTTTGGTGGATCTTGTTTACAGTTATTCATGGGTTTTAGTTTCGAACTCTGTCAAAGGAGGGTACATCTTGGCTGGGAATCATGATGCGGTCGGTTGCGTAGATTCGGTTTTCACATGAAGATTGTAACAAAGTCAGGTTACCCCTGAGAGGAGAGATGGCCCCACGATCTGCTTTTCAGGGTCTTCACTAGTAGACAGCGCTAGCAGGGGAGCTTCTGCGGGGTCATTCAGGGTGATTTGGGATTAAGGAGGTTCTGACAGACGCATGCAATAGACGTTTCAATTGGAGCCGCAAGATAATCTTGATTAGAGCATCTACCTAACGTATGGCAACGCACAGCAACGGGCGGGCGATGCGGGCTTCCGAACTAAAAGCCAAAATTAAGAAAGTTGCAGGAACTGTGGAGATAACACAAACTAGGTACTCTAGGTCTTGCTGAGTCGAGTAGCTCCAATTTAGATATCTACTGATTAGGTATTCGTGTAGCTCCGGTTGGGAAGACATATTTCCACGCGATATACCCGAGCAGCAGGAACGGACATTCTGGTCATGCACTTTTAATTTTATGACAACATAGAGCAGGTATATAGAATGCTTCATTAATTTTGAAAGACTACATGTCAATTCAATTGAGTTAAAAAGCTGTCTGATCACTAATGGAAGGCTTGTCCGGACTTTCATGCAAATCTATCCCTTTGAGATATTGGGTCCTGGGAAACCACAGCCAAGGATCAGGCCGCAAGAGAAGGATCTGCTAATGGAGGAAAAGTGGGATCAGGCACACGAGGACCAGACAAGCACTAGAGAAGAAAAGGCTAAGCGTCTTGGTCCTCAATGCCATGGATTTCAGCCACCGATGCGCGCTTTTGAAATTCGCGCGGACGATCGCCGAACGAGCAGTCGAGGAATCGGCCAATTTCCCTTACGAATTGGATCCCTCTTATTGATTGGAGTGACCCAAATTGTAGCCAAATGTTTGCCACCCCCAGACTCTCAGGGGCTCGCGGCTATTCGTCAAACTATCGGGGGTGTTGCCCGACAGCTCTGGAAAGGTTGGGAAATGGGTTGAGTGGCGCTAAACCTCGTTCCGAGAACCCCACGGCGAAGGACGGATTGGATGGTTATTGGCGACCCAGTGGGAAAGCGTGGAGGCGACCAGAGGGGTATTGAGGGGTTTGCTTGAACGAAGAGCTTCCTATTATCTCTGCAATGGAGAGTTGAGAACGACGATATGTATGACGTAGCCCTGTCCGTTCGAGGACTGGCGGCCGGTCTCTGTATAACAGGTCAGACAATGAGATTGAAAAGAGAAATTTAGCGGTGGAAATCCGAGACAACGGGATGACACCATATAAGATCCGCTGCAATTGGGCTCAAGCGTTTTGACGTGAAAAGGCGGAGATTTGGTTCCGATCGCGGCGGGGAGGAGCACATTCCAGGCGGGAGCCAATTGGGAGCCGTCAAGCAAAAAAAACAAGGTCAGCATCAAACGATCATGCTTTTCCTCTCTGCCTTTTTCCTTTTCCCTCACAGAGAGCCGTGCTGATCACCTCTTCGTGGTCCGTCCCTGTCTCGAGCCTCGAGTTTTGCGCCCCGTTAAACCTTCGGATTCTTCCCCAGTTCATCGCTCTCCTCTTCGACACTTCGCCTCCTCCCTTGAAGCGGGTCTGCCCCAGCCTTTCGGTTACCCCGGATTCGTCGTCACTTCGCCCTGGACTCAGCACTCAAACATCAACGGTCTCTCCCCTAGAGACCATGGAGCCGAAGCTGGCCCTATCCTCAATCTCTCCCTCCTCCTCCGGCCGCGACTATGCATTGAGGTATACCCTCCGCTCAATCGAGACTTGACTGAGGGTTTTGTGAGTGTGGGAAACAGTCCGCGCCTGCGGTGCGCGGCGCCTTCATCATGCAAACACGCCGACCGGCTACGCTCGGTGTCTCAGTCACCTTTTTCGTTATCGCCAGTATATTCGTTGCTTTGCGGTTCGTCTCGCGGATCTTCGTTGTGCGTCGAGTTGGGTTACACGATTATTTGATGCTGGTCGCGTGGGTATGTTGTTGCTCCCTGGGGTCCCTGCATGCGCCGGGGTTGGTCGCTTGCGACTGCGTGCGCATCCTTGTCCTCGAAGGCGCATGCAAATTGCCGTAGGATTATTGACCTGGGGGCTGTCTTGCTGACCAAAGCTCTAGCTGATCGATTTTGGCTTCTCGTTCTCGCTGTTCTACGCGACTCAACATGGATTTGGCCTGCACTCAGCTGACATCCCAGCCGAGAACCAAGAGGCCTTGAATAAGGCTAATTATGCATTTACGGTGTTATATGTGAGTTCATTCACTCTACCAAGTGCTTATACTTGCTGCAACCATGCTAATATCAACCTCCTAGAACCCGGCGCTGATGGCTGTCAAAACTTCCATCCTCGTCTTCTACCTTACCCTAACACGCAATCAAAAAGTCTTCCGATGGGCAAATTATGTCACACTGGCGGTCGTCAATGTTGCAGGCCTTGCCTTGACCATGGTGAACGTATTCCAATGCCGCCCTGTCTCCGCTGCATTTTACTCGACCGTTCCTTCCGGCGCCAAATGTACCGACATCGTCACGCTCTACCTTTCCTCGTCCCCCGTCAATATCATCACCGATCTGGCCATTCTCTTCCTCCCGATGCCGATTTTGACGCAAATGCGCCTTCCATATAAGCAAAAGGTCATTCTGGTGATTACGTTCAGCTTTGGTTTCTTCGTCGCGGTGGTCGATGTGATTAGGATCGCTTTTCTTCAACAAGCCGCGATATCGCGCTCACTAGCGGTGAAATCGATTTCTCTACAGAATAATACCTCCGCTGACTTTAGCTGTAAGCATTCAGAACACTCAATACTAGTTCGATGTGCGGATTATGCTAACAAATCCTTTTCTCTGCAGGGTACGCCTCGCTCTCTTTCATGTGGTCCGTCGTCGAAGTCAACGTCTCGGTCATTTGCGGCTGTGTTCCAAGCCTCAAGCCTTTGGTGGCTCGTCTGATGCCAAAATTGATCAGAGACACCGATGATCCCTACACTAGCCCCCGCAACAATTACGCCCCTGGTGAAAGTCCGGTCGCCGTTCCTCCTGCTGCCGTGATACCAAATTCCCTCCATGGATCTCCTGCGGTTTCGCCATCAGACAGCAATGGTAGTAAACCCTCGCAGACGAGAAGTGTTAGCACAAGTGCACGCAGGCAGAGTTCGAATGCCCCGGTTGGAATACTCGACTTTCTAGGCGAGCCCGGAAATGGTCCCACCGATACTGAGGCGAACACCCATACCAGCACGTCCTATCCGCCTGATATCACCTTTTTCGATTTTGTCAATATGAAGAAACCCGAGAGCATGCTTAAATTGAATAATCGAGAGTCCATTGCACCGATTGCGTTGACGACCCTTTTATTCTTCCTTTGGGGATTCGCATATGGGTTGCTTGATATACTGAATGCCCAGTTCCAGACTATTGTTCGGCTGGATACTTGGCACTCGTTGGGTCTTCACGGTGCCTACTTTGGCGGATATGTGCTTGGCCCATTGCTAGTCGGAGGCCCAGTTCTGAAAACCTGGGGATTCAAGTCGACCTTCATCACGGGACTCTGCATTTATGCCTGCGGAACGCTCGTCTTCTGGCCATCAGCTGTACTCGCCTCTACGGCTGCATTCACCATCTCCAATTTCATCGTCGGATTCGGCCTTGCCGTGTTGGAAACCGCAGCCAACCCTTTCATCGCGCTCTGCGGTCCTCTGGAGAATTCGGAAATTCGATTAAACATCTCACAGGGTGTCCAAGCAATCGGCAGCGTGGTATCTCCACTTCTCGCCAAGAAAGTTCTCTTCAAGAATGTCCAAGATGCCGCCGCTCTCGTTGACGTGCAATGGACATACCTCGGGATCGCTCTTTTCGACGTCCTCCTCGCAGTCGCATTCTACTACCTCCCTATCCCAGAAGCCTCGGACGAAGACCTCGAAGAACTAGCCAACCGCCGCAGAGAAGATAACATGACCAAAGTCCTCGGCATCCCAGTCGTCTGGCTCACCCTCGGCCTCGGCATCTGGTCCCAATTCTTCTACGTAGCCGGCCAAGAAGTCCTGTCCACCTCACTGGAACGATTCGTCCAAACCGCCAATCCAAACACACCCCTCGGCGCTTTCGAATTCCTAACAATCGGCCACAGCATCTTCGCCATCGGCCGCTTCATCGCCGCTTTTGCACAGTGGTTCCTCAAACCACGCTGGATCCTAATGGTCTCGTACATCGGGATGATCGTGTTTTCCGTGCTATGCATGAAAACAACCGGCACCGCAGCTATCATAATGGCAATGTTCGTCTACCTCTTCGAAAGCGGAGTCTTCAGCATTATCTTCGCCCTGTCACTACGCGGAACGGCACAACACACCAAAACAGCCGCCGTCCTCCTAACCATGGCCATCAGCGGCGGCACTTTCTTCCCCTTCGCAGAATACGCCGCCTACCTATCCCGCGGCCAATCATACTCATACTGCGTACTTGTCGCCGTCTTCGCGGCCGGCGCGATCTTCCCGGTATACCTCAACCTCGTCCCCGCCGTGAAAAAACAGGTCGACCCCGTTCCGAATGAGTATTTGCGTCGACACCGTCGGCGCAGAAGTAAAGCAGCTGGTAGTGGCGTGCAACGTGAGAAGCAGAATCCTGCTGTGGGGGGCGTTCTCTCGCGTCCGAGAAGTTTGGTCTCGCATCCGGATTTGCTGCCTGATTTGCCAATGCCCGGGGCGACGCATCAGAGTGAGAGGCCGAGTCTGAGGGCGAGGAGTGTGAAGGGTTCGAATGGAACTTCGACTTCGAACTCGAATGATAGCTCGCATGTTGGATCGCAGTCTTCTGGCCATGAGGGTGTTAAGAGAGTGCGAATTGAGGGCGATTCTTGATTCCTGATTCAGGATGATTGCACATATCTTTTTCGTTTTGGGCTGGGCTTTTTGCAATATTTATAGATACCCCATCTCTGTGGCTCACTGAAAAATGGATGGTTATATCCAGGGTCGCTTTTTGGAAGCATGCTTGGGTTACCTGGGCATCTCCTGGATCTCTTTGGTGATGACTCTTGCATTTTAGCGATGGCGTTTTCGTGGCAATTTCGGGGGAGGGTTCTGTTCGCTTTATGGATGTATATAATTTTCAAAGAATAAAATACATATTCTATAATTGACTCTCGATTCTTAAACCAATAAGCAAAGCGAAAGACGATGGTGATACCCTTTTCTACGTCTATCTCTCGATTGCTTACGTTTAATACTTCCTCACAATGCCACTTTGATGAAACCCATCTTAATACCTTGCACGTTTGGAATTTTGCTCGCTGCAAGATACCCTGCACAGCCTCTTACTTAGTTATACTCAGCTGATACAGCTAGCAGCAATATGCAGTGGCATACAGGGATCTTGGTTGCTCAATGCGAGAGTTCTGACCAGGAAGAAAAGGACCATTGGATATTCGTCCGTCGGTCAATATCTTTGTGAGACATATGGCCTTCTGGCCAGACAATTCCTTGACAATTTAGTCAGAGCCTTTGAAAGCAACGAGCATTTCTACGGTGAGTTCATGCTAGGTCATTCTTTCACACTATGCTCATTGTAATTTGCAGTTGATGGCTCTATGTCTTTTAGGACATCCCCCAAAGAGATCCAGCTAAAGTGTTGTAGCCTCGACAAGGAGCTCCCGAGTATGTTTGAGTGGCTTTGTTGTGTTATGAGACGTCAAGAACCAGCTGTTACTTGTCTATCCACCGCGTACAAAGAGCATACACCCGAAATTACTTTCCTGTCCCAACTGCCAACCCAGCCTCTGTCGCCCATTGATTTGACAAACGGTTGTTGGACAAAACTATTTGACGGGGCGGTAATTGCCTTGGAACCAGGGGTGGTACCAGCGCCATCTCAGGGATTGGAACTCGATTGCAATACTATGATTCAACTTGCAGCAGTCGAATACCCAGTTCTGGTTGAATCTGACACCAAATTACCTCCTGGCCTTGTTTTCATGGGCTATTCGACAGCTCTCATTCCAATCCGGGAGACCGAAGATGGCATGATTTCGTGGCATCTGGAAGTTGCGAGTAATGATCGTCAGATCAAAGCTTCCGAGCTCAAAGCAACACAGTCAGAATGGCTGCGGATGACAGATTTGAATTACCTCCTCTCAAAGAAAGCACTTTTTGGATGGTGTTCTCAAGCAGAACTTCGACTGGGTGCGGGTACAGAAGATCTTGATGTGACATGGTCCCATGCTAAGGAGAAGCCATTTTCATTTGAGCTCGCAGGTATCAACCTTCAAGCTCTTGCACAGCCTGCAGCCCCGGCCCAATTTGGCATCCAAGCTGGCGCATCGTGGAAGCTAGTGAATAATACCATCAGATTTACCCAGGATGATGAATATCTAAGGTGCCTGAATAACAGTAGGGAGCAACAAATTGTTCTCTATGATGTCAGCACTTCCAGAGCTTGGCTTGTTCCTTTGATCTCAGTGTTACATCACATGCTGTTGGTCTACTGGAAACGGATCCCGGAAAATTTCCGAGAGATGAGATATTCCTCTGGCCGTCCCTACATCTCTGCACCCAAATGCTTCTTATGAGGCATTGGTAAACAAGGGAGAATTGGTGATTCAGAGGTCCAACCAAATCGAGCACTCTTTGACCGTTCAAAAACTTATCATCAGATTCGCCATCAATATTGGCAGGATTTCGCTACAGAAACCCAAGGGAAGTAAGATCTACAGATATGAATTCGTGGACATTGCATGTGAAAAACCGACGACTACTTTGGAAAAGACAACTCTGGAAAGGGACGGCCTGGCATGGTTGCCGCGACTCAAAGAGGTCGATTGTCTCTTCTGCTCGGATCTCGGGGATGCAATCGTTGGCCAACGAACGTCAAACACTCCTTCGACTTGCAATATCTTACCAGCAGGTCACGACCTCCTGGCCGCATTAGTTCGGAGTATTGAGCAATTGTCGGAAGTGAGAGGTGGCTGCCAGGAGGGACATATTCGGCGATTGCTAAATGATAGTGCGTGGCAACCAACGGGTTCACCTTTCCAGGCATGCCAGCACGACAGCCACGAATCATGCTGGAACCAACCTGAGTTCCTGCAACAAATCACACCCGAACGATCGAATGGTAAAAGTAGGAGAATTTCCTTTCACGATCATGTCAATGGTGCTGTTGTTTTTGGCGGGCCCTTGAACACGCGATCGTTTACGAATTCTTCTCGTGTCTCCGGACAGTATCAAAGTCGACCGGACACAATCCAGAACCAATCTAGCAAGGGCAGATGGAAATCAGAGCAACTCTCCTTAGCCGTTGAATGATATAGCTTGAAATTCTTCATGTTTGGTTTCAGAATCTCTGGCTTTGATGTTACACTCATGCACTGAAATTATAACAAATTACCCTTAGTAGGAAGATATTTCTCCATAACGCTGTTGTTGGCTAGCAAGATTGCATCATCATGATGATCTTCGTCGTCATCCTCCTCATCATCAAACGTCTTTCGTCTGCCTCTCTGCAAATATTGAAATCATTTCAAATGATCGCCCTCCAAAAGCGAAGGCATGCATGTGAAACGCGGCCACGTTACTCAAAACCTCCACATTCCGAGCCCACAAGGCGGACCACGGAACTCGACCGGGAAATTCCCACCCAGCTCTTCACCGACACCGAGGCTCCCAGAGCCCTAGACATTGATAATGCACCGTGTAAAGGGCAAGCCGACCGAAAACCCCCACTTAGGGCTATACTCCAGCCGTTACCGAACCACATCTTGAATCATTTACGTGCCGACACAGGCTTGTCATAGGGCTTGATGGAAAATACAGGCCGAGATTTTAAACTTTGTACCGAAGAGCAGGGTCCTTCCAGATTTGGGGTCTGCGCTCCACCGTAGGAGAAGCAAATGACGCGGCGCTCGCTATTACTCGGATGACAGATACCGGCGTACCATAAATTGACCAGTAGACTGGAGGACGGTCAACGATATGACTCGAGCTAAATTGAATATGGGAGAGATCGTTATATGTAGCATACTTGGCAGATTAGATGTATAGAACAAGCATGGCGCTGCCTTTGTCACTTGTGGCTTTTCTTGATCGGAGGCACATATCCTGCATGATCGATCGCGACGGATCTTGTGGCGACGCTAGGGTTTAAACCAGAAGGTAAAATTGAAGCTTTGTTTTCTGTACCTTGACCGGCGTGTGAAACACAAACTCTCAGGGTCCATCCTGTCCAGCAAGGATTCTGAATCGAATCGTATAGTCAAGCCCAGGCATCGCTAGAATGTATCATCCCCCAAGGAGTTATTTCTAAGAAAGAGACCGCCCTAATGAATTATGGACATCAGTTAGCAAACCATAGAGGCTTTAGTCGGTATACTCCGCACTGAGTACTATCTTAGGAGCGGAAATACATTTCCGCCAATACGAACCACTCAACAACCAAGAACCCAACCCCCCCAACTCCTATCCACCCTTTCTCCCCTACTATCTATCCCCTGAGCCTCGACGCATTAATGACGATCGCGCTCAAGTAACCATTATTCTAAGTACTCCCGACAGTATCCTCAATATTCCACGACCGGACATCGTATTCCGGAACTTAAAGCCAGGATGATCTCGGAGAATTTCTGAGAGTCACCAATAGCAATATGTCCTTTGACGCTTGAAATTCAGTGGACTCCGCAGGGCCTCTCGTTAGTGGCAGACTAAGAGCGAGCTAGGCCCTCATTTCAGCCGCGCCACCCATCCCCCTCAAGTGTAGGTTACGCAGCACGGACATGGGAGAACAGGGCTTCGGGATTTGAAGGCAGCAGTGCGCAATTGAATTTGTTGGAGGGTTGGGCAGTTATTGGGTGGGGGTTTTGAGGAATTCCTGGTTCTTGGACTCCGTAGGTGGTGCTAGGTCCTAGTCGGGGGCCTACTTGTAGTTTCACGCCGGATGGGAAGAGTTCGACATGTTATCACCAGTCTTGTGAGCGGTCACCTTCTTAGATGTTTATTGCGTCTGAAGGATCTAATCATGTACGACGGCTCTCAGGAAACGTTTTATGCCAGAGGGACGGATGCCAAGTGACATGTTCATGGACCGGTCGGAGAGCGAAGCATAGAACCATGGATCCCTCGATTATGGTCCGAAACGCATCTCGATTTCGCGAACCGATTAACAGCAGACCGGACCCGATAATTCTTGCATTACGATCACCCGTGCATTACTCCTAACAGCAGAGGAGAAGTAAGAAAGGAAACATCAGCCACGCCGCACAGTATCCAAGGGGCAGACACCTCTAGCTAAGGCCAGGATTAGATCTAGGGTGTCCACAGCGAAACGCGCAAACTAGTGGGGTCAAAACGGAAAAGATTCCTAGCAAAAAGGGACGAAAAAAAGCCTCGTAGTCTATGGCTCGGTTCATGGGTTTATGGGTTCATGGTTTCATGGTTCACCGATCGCTTTCCCCTCTTCCGCCGTCCCGTGCGCTCCAAAGAGAAACATTGAGTGGGAGAAAACAATGTCAAAGCCAGTAAAAAAGCCCTGCTGGCACCGGCACTGGTCCTGGCCCTGACTTGAACTCAACACGGTTCAATGGCTGGCAGGGGCAATGATTGACAATTATCCACCCGCATTGGGCCTGACCCTCCATTCTTATACTCCACTTCAGGCCCGAGTCAGTGGGAGTCGAGGGTCTTTACGTCTGGTAAATTGAGAGTTCCGGCCGAAATGACATTCGCCATGGGTCGAATTGATTGTCAGCTTGCGTTTGCTTTTTTTTTTCCCGTTTGCTTTTTTGGATGAGAATTATTAGGCACCACCCCCTTCCGATCCGACGGGTAGGGAAATGCGGGTACGGTAGAATCTGGGTTCAAGTGGTGGTCTCTTGCAGAAGTTGTGCCTTTCAAGCTTGAAGAATTTGAAATAAATTCCAGTGAAGATCGTGGAAAATCGCCTTGTATATTTGAGGTGGTGTCTATTGCAGTGGCATGGCTTCCAATTAGTGAACTCGGGAGAAGATAACGACCATGAGTGGTGAACCATTTGTAATTGATCCCATGCTTGGGAATGCAGATATGTATATATAGTCATAGCCAAAGATCCTAGCTTAGGAGATGCAGAAGTAGACTCGGCGTCTCTATTTTGTAGAATGCAAGGGCGCCTGGAAGGGTGGTGTGGACGATCCGGCGCAGAGCTCTCTTGTGATCCTGTATCAACAAAACGCTTTCAAATACCCAGAAGAGAATGAAAAGGACACGATTGCTAAACAAGTCTAATGGACCCGACGGTCTCAATAGGACCACGTCGCCGTTCCCATGGATGCGATGCTCCGAAAGACAGAGGGCAGAAACAAAATCAAGGTGACAAGGGAGTAAAAGTAGATAATGAACACATGTCATAGAATGGAAGAACAATAGGGAACGAGGGCGCTGTCGAATTCATCGAGAACTTCGCGCGCGCGAGTTCTGTGACGAGGAGTCGTGAAGATTGTCCGGCGCTCGCGGACCAACCATCCAATCTTCCATAGCAAGCCACTCGCTCCAACTGCGCTCGGCAGCTTCAATCTCCGCATCCAATGGACCCTGCAACGGGCGAAGGAATGGGATCGTTTCTGACGGGGACATGTCGTAGTCCTTTTTCACGGAAGCCCAGCCCCCGCTCTTTGCGGCGAATAGATAGTTGCGACGTTCTTGCTCGTGTAGGGGACCAACACCCGTGCCCCAGTCGTCTCCAAAGAATCCATGCAGCACTCCTGGGAAATCCATACCCGTGGCGACTAGACGGCGAATATACGGGATCAATGAAACTGCGGGCGGGCCTGGTAGTGCTGGACCGCCTGGGGTTGGCGCAGATGGTGCGGATAGAGGGTTCGAATTCATGACCGGGTTTGGTTGTCGTTGGAAGGGTAATCTGATGTTCAAGAAGGCCGATAGTGCCTGCACGGGCACGCTGTGTTGTGCATGGTCGAGGAAATATCGTTGGCAGCTCTGGTAGCGTGGATACCATTCGAAAATGTCAAAGTTGTCTTCTGTTCTCCCGGGCGAGGCACCGACCAGCCCGATCATGGCAGCCGGATCGAATTGCGATTGCGAGTTCATGCGGGATGGTGATGCTGATCTGGGCGGTTCTACAGTGTATCTGTAGGCAAAGTCTTGGTCTTAGCTGTGTTCTTTGTCTTTCGTCCGTTGTTTCTTTCAGGGAATCATGTCATTGGGTTATGTCAGGCTGGCATTCTTCGTGTTGGGGTTGGCGTAGCGGGGCATTTCGATTCGCCTTGCCCCAACAGCGCCTAGCATGGACACAAAAGTGTGAAAGGTGGAGAAAAGACCGAGGCAAAAACAGTGTCACGGTCAATGAAGCAAGAACTGGGTATGGGGAATGATTACTTGTTTGAAAAGAGATCCCTACCTCGACGAACCAGGAGGGAGACACGGCGCCGGGGGGAAGGGGAGGAGGAAGAGGAGGAAGGCGGGGGAGCAGAGCGGAACAGATCTCTGATGGCGCCGAGTCCTCGGCCAGATTGCGAATTCATGGGCATCTGTCAGGGGAGGACCATCGAAGCAGACAGCTCATGACCCGAATTGACCGATTTGGGGGTAGGAGAGAAGAGGAGAGAGTTGAGGATCAAGAAAGTAGGACACCCCTTGAGGGAACAAGATTATGAGGTAGAAGAATAGCGGACATACATGTTGGGAGGAGGGGAGATGGACGGGCTGCCGCCAAAAGAAAATAGCAATTAGAAAGTATACAAAAGGAAGAAGAGAAGGAGAAAAAAAAAAAAGAAAGTAACGCAATCACAGCCCAACGTAAGCATGAGGTTCAAAGAAAACCGGGGCTTGATTCTGGAACGTTCATAGAAAACAGCGTGAGGAGGGAGAAATCGTGCGGAGAGTGGATTCCAAAAGTATACGGAAGATTTGGGATTTTTTGCAGTAGTTTTTTTTTCTCTTTTGGTTCTGAAATCGGATCCATCAGAACGGGTCTATCCGATTAGGCCAATCATGAAGACCAAGGCCCTTGTCTCTCAGATCTTGCTGTCCACGGCTCATGGGTGGATACTGGATCGATCTAGATGAGGTGATGGACGAGGGGGCGACTTGAGAATTCTCGGGATAACTGGACGAATTGGTCGGTCATTGGATGACGGTATAGTTTGATTAATCTCGTACTGCTCCTGCAATCATGATGCGTAGCTAGATTGTCTATTCGCATGTCGAATAGAAAGGAAAGATAATAAGATTCTGCAGGAATAATAACTCTCAACTTGGCTAGAGAAAGGTATGGTTCACTTGTCATATCCATTCAATTCCGCGCTCCAGTTGGCTCCCCCTCCCCCCCTCTTCGCCTTCCCCATAGCGGCAAGTCTTTCGAAACTAGGAACATCCGCCGGCCTCTATCCACGGTCCTGTTCGGCTAGACGATGGGAGGCTTCCGAAATCCGATTTAGACCCAGTGACTAGCTGTTAGTAGTAGTACTGTACTGTTGTGAAGTGTTTTTTTTTGTTCAAAAAATTCGATTTTTGTCTGCCGCAGCCCCCCCGGTACCTGGATCCTCCATTGAGGTAAAGGCTGCGTCCTTGCGCCGGGTAACTCTGCATGTATTACGGAGTAGAGAGATCTCATCGTCTATTTAATCACTCCTATTGGTTGGCCCAATCGAGACGGCGTCGATTCTAATAAGTACTCTTATCCACTAGCTCTTCTCCTTTTCTCTGACTGCCACGCGACTCGATCCTGGTTTCCTTTCTCATGCCTCCATCCTTGTTGCGGTATGGCTTGTACTCTTCTCCCGATGGCTCAAATATAGTCTAGTGAGGATAAGCGCAGCATGAGAAAAGGGGGAGGCTTGCCTTGCCTGGAGAACCGGATCCGACTTTCCAGGTTTCGGGTCCATGGCTACGCCACTCTATCCCCCAGCGAGCTTACTCCCTGCAAGGCGCCTAGTCATGATTGGAATCAATTGTCCACGAGGACACTGGCTAATTACAGGTGCGTTCTCGAAATCCCTTTGTCCACTGCAAAGACGATTGCTTGAAAAAGCGGTCCTCGTGACCGGCCCCTGATATACGGAGTACTAGTATACACATATGCAATTGGTCGTGCCTAGTCCTGCACATCAACATCATGCTGCAGACCTTGACCGTGGCTGGCGAAATTCCAATGGTTTGACTTTCGATCAAAGACGATGTCCACCCGACCGGCGGGTAGTTCTACACTGATGCCTACCTATTCACCCCTACCTATTAACCCCCTGAATAATGCACCATCAATGAAAGGGGGGAGGCTGTCAAGAAGGCGGCAGGTCAATCAGGCCATCGCACAAAAGAAAGAGGTTTGAATGGATACCCCATAAGCCAAGAGCTAAGTTTGCGATCGTGCCGACATGCTCGGGTATTTGAAGAACGGAGCGAAGGAATGGATCTCCCACAACTCGACTCGTTCATCAGAAAGTACAAAGAAATCCACAACAAAGGAAACCCCCAGCAAAAGACGAGCTAGGTTCCTATCCAGGCAAGGATAGCTTGCTAGCTAGGCGCTACGCCAGCTTCAAGCCGCGCCACCTCTTGTTGGCCCCTGCAAGATCTCCGACCCGTCCAGATTCGAGTCCACTCAGCAGTCTCAGAATAATAACTCCCCGCGCCATTCAGCAAGTCGTTGCTAAAAATGTTAGAAAATGGCGCCACTAAACCTTAGCTAGAAGCTCAAGCCAGGACAGTGGGCCACTAGGCATACGATCTGGGATCCTCGGGCGCGAAAAGCCCAAGGCGCCAAACGCAAGGACCACCCTTTGAGCTGTGTTTTCCCCTACAAGACAATTCTTGCCCCATTTCCCCCTTGTCGACTTCGGCCTAACCAAGGAGCTACGGGCCCAACTACGACGATTGCTAGACAAGGAAGTGATTTTGCTGATCACTGCACGCGATTTCGCGTTGATTTGGATGAAATGTTGAAGCCGAGGTCGACGACTAGCTTTCCTAGACAATGTGCCGTGGTCGATGGACTCCGTTCAGCATTGCGGAGCGTGGGGCCCCCTTTTCTGGAGACAGAGAACAGGCGGGTCCCCCTGTCAGCTGTACGAAATCCGAAGACAATCCAGGGGGTTGTGCATTGATGATCGATGCATTCTTTGTGCACGGAGAACAACGCTAGGGTATCAATATCGACGGCGTCATCCATTCATTCAACTCCTGAAATATTCTTCAATCTGAATTCAACCCCCCTGTTCCAATGCGATCCACTCTTTATTCACTTGACAGGTTGGACGGAATCAACGAGGTCTGTTGCCGACTTGACCGAATGACTTCAGTTATGACGAACGAGTTCCAGGAAAAGAAATATTTTCGCCGATCCATTGGATATATGAGGTCCTTGCGGTCAGTGAAAGCCATGTGTCATTCAGGGATTCAACTTCTGGAACAATTTTTGATCTCCAGATCAAGGCCCACAGTAGCGATACGCTCTGCACGTACTTATGCGGCTGATGTTCCAGGAAATGCATGACTGCCACTCGGGGTTTGGGCTCTGCGGTTGATCATTTGGCGCCAGAAGCGCAAGGGCTGGCCTTGTGAGCGTACTTGATCAAAGTCACGAGCAAGGACAGTTACTCAAATACAAAGTACCAAATGCTTGATGTCGCGAGTTTTTGTATGAAAGAGGCAGGTTCCTTTCCCTTGCCATTGTTGGGTTACAACCCGAGGCTTATCAGGCTCGAATGCTTTGTGACCGCCATTTGGCTTGGACGTCAGAAAGCCCTGACATTCATGGTGATCCCAGCTTTTGTGGCCCGTTGCAGACTTGAATTCAACCCGGGTTGAGAATGAGACTTTGCACCCGTCTTTGATTCCGAGCAAATGGCTCTGTCTGACTGGTCTAGCGATTATGTCTGGTAATAGATTTCCCGTGGCGCAGGCATTCTGCATCCAGAACGAAGCTGAACACAGACACCAAGCTGAACCCGGGAATACCCAACGAGATTTATCGCGACCGTTAGCAAAGTCAATCTAGGCAACACATACTCCGATCTCGTATACGACGCCACTCTCGAAATACCTCATATCTCATACCACGATGATGCAGCGTGCAGATGGAGTCATCCATCCAGCGCGTCTGGTGAAATTCACGTCAAATCCCCCGCCTATCAGCACACGTGCAAGTCTCGTTGTGGCGGTATTTCAAAAAAAAAAAAAAAAAGTGATCGATCACTTTGCGACACCGCCTCCCACGCGCCACGTCTTTCGCGCCCGTAGATGATCCCGTGAGCTGTAATCGGTCATCATAGCTGTAGTTGTGTAGCCTGACATGTGGGGTTCTGTTGCTTGTGGAATAATGCTCCATTCCGTCTTTAATGGGAGTCATCATTGTTCATCCGATCCCCCACGGGGAAGAATAAGGAACTACTCGGCCGAGCTAACAGGGGTCCAATGGACAATGAAGATCTCGAGTAAAACCAATGCGTAATAATCCCTGACGGCGGTGCCATGTGTCCTCTTTTCAGGTCTGATAGGGAAACGGGGGGATGGTGGAGGTGTCATTCCTGTTCTTATTCGTGGGGTGCGGAGTCCGCCGATGCCCATGGCTTTCTTCCCGCGATGCGGCACCAGTCCGGTCCCGCTTGACGGGCGAGCGCGGGGTCGGATGGAGGATACTCCATAGATGAGGGAACGGGATTGGGTATACAACTACGTGCTGTAGTGGAGTTGGTGTTGTGGTGTGGATGCATGGATTGTCAGTGATACTTGATTATTAAAGTGGGTGGGCTCTGTAAGAAGAGTTGAGGTTGGGGAGCTGCGGGCGCTAGAGGGAGCTGCCCTAGCTGCGGGGTTGGATATCCAGGGTTCTTGGTGGATTCGTTTGTAGTATGAGCGGGCGATAGGGCAGATGGTTTGTCTTTTGGTTTATTTTGTGATATGTGTGCTTCAGCTGGATACTGGCCTTTCATTGCTTGATATGTCGGAGTTGAACTGGATTCGTAGACCACTAAACCGATAGATCTCTGCACCGGACATGGAACAGCGTCTACATCGCCACTCATGAAATACATCAGACTATCTTGCTTTAAAGTACAGTCTCCCATTATACAGTTACCACTGTACTCCGTAGGTTCAGACTCTTTGTATAATGGGCCTTCATGGGACAAACGGAAGTGGTCATATGTATCGAAGCAAGCAATGGCTGAACAATTCAGAATGTAATGTATTTGATTCTGAACTTGTGTTTTCTGATCAAAACGCCTTCAAGAAAACTGCGACTGGTAATTTCTAAACATGCAGACTCTTAATTTAGACAAACGGATCTACAACCTGGAGCACGGTAGCTAATTTAATCGTCCTTCTCTTTTAAACTTGCTCTCAGTTATACAAGACAACCACTCGTAACGGAAAATGCCAAAGATAGATGCCCACTGTGGAGATTGATGAAATCTCCCTCCATCTGCACGCATCCTCCACAGACTAAAAATGCAAGAGGAAACCTAATACCAAACCACCAACGACGAGCGTCGACACTCTATCACTCCTGCAAAACAGAGACCAGAAGATCCAACAAACTCAAAATACTTACTATACTGAATACTGTACCATTTCGTCGGGGTGGGACGAGGTACACACTTTCATGTCGTTGGATATCTTTCGCTCTGAGACTTGAATGTGGAGTGTGGATGCAATGCACCCCGCGAATATCTCCATTGCTAGGATTTCGGAGAACAGTGTCTTTATGCATCTAGAATTGTGGACTATGTCATTATCCAATAACACCAGGTTAGCGAGTACTTTGGATAAGACAAGAAGTACAAGAAGTATCATGGTTGAGGATGATGGTGACCACCATGTTTACGTGGACCCAAAGGGGACACCCACATCCCGAACCCAGCAAGATCAATTTACGGTTCCAATGTTTCCTCATTCATAAATCGGCTCAGTGGGGGAAAGCAAAACTACCAAAATATTCCATTGGAACCCGCTAAACATGTAACTCGAAACTCGCAGCAAAGTTGATCATCCTGTGGCGAGGGTCCTGGGGGCGAGGGAAGTGAAAATAGAATCAGGACCTGCCAGTTCCAGTGACCCGGGTAAAACGCGATTACCGCCAGTAATGAATAATGCCTCATAGACAGCGAACATTAAAGTCAAGAAAGTTGCCGAGTATCATTCAGGAGCTAGATAATATTAGGTATCCCGTTTATACCGTCGCCGTCAAGGACGGGGTATAATGCAGTAGTGCATGGGGTACATAGCACTATCTCCATCTCTTCACCGGGAAACTGCCGAGCATCGGACTTGTCGCCTCCCAACTCCAGGCCCGCAAATAGGGTTGCCCGACTACGAGTCTTGGCACTGCACGGGCTTGAGCTTGGACTTGGACTTGGATTTGGGCTTCCCGAGCCTCAGCGTAGTGACTGGGGGAACTGTTGTGGCGCCCAGCCGCCGGGTCATGGGGGGTGTCTGAAAAAATCGATTTGAGGGAGCATGTGAAGCAGAATTTAATTAATGTGCAGGTTGTAGGAGTTCAAAGAGATGGCATAGTGGATAACAGTACGAGTCATGCAGTATAATTCTTGTGTCAATATTTTGAAACTTGAAATTGTACGTGGTTCACAGTTGGCCGATCGGGTCAGACCATAACCCACATTTAACCCCTCCATTTACCCGCCCCTCACTACCATACCATGGTGACGTGGAGGCAACATCGGAGACGGCAGGAGCTCAAGGGGAAGGGGAAAGATGGTCAAGTCTGGGGGCCCGGTGAAGAAGGGGAGAGAAGAGGAGAGCAGAAGCCGATAGGTCGAGTAGTACGGAATACGGTAGTACGGTAGTACAATTCGTGGTCGGTGATACGGAGCGACGGAGAATATGACTCCGGGTAGTGGGCAAGTGGTTGGTGGTTGCTTTTGTGTGATAAAGACTCCCGTACTGAAGTTAACCAGTCATAGGCAGGAATGGCGGTTCCGATGACTCAAGGGGATTGAAAAATAAAATTGGGCGATCAGATAAGGTGGTGGGGTTCCCGGAGCCTATAATGGAGGTGGGTTTTGACTGTTTTCCATTATTCAGGCATTGGCCATACATAACTAGTTTCGAGACTGTACAATGAGTCGGGTGTTGGATGGAGTCTTGACATGCTTGAGGATAATCTGAGGCAAGTGATTCGTTTAGAGGAGGAAAGGCATCTGCATGTGGAAGTATAGAAATACTACGGTAGAATACAGATAGTCAAAGGACACTCTTGTAGTCCATTCTGCTGTACTCTTGGAGAATAGAAAAGTCATGATCCGACTGGAACTGCCGTTTGCGGGGCTCACGTGACCCATTCCGAAGGTGGCAGTTGGTGGCGGATTCGGAGTCGAGGAGAATTGTAGAGAAAGACCAATAGACTAATAGACTAGCGCGGTCGAATTGAGAATGGGCATTTAGTGATTAGAAAGCATTGACCATAGACTATTCAGTGTAGACTTCACGATGGAATTGATTGCTTGATTGTGCACGCGACTTACTACTCCTCTCTGCACGAGGCCTTCACTGCACTCTACTCTACAGAAGGTTACATTAGTGCCCGGGCAAGGTGTTGACCCATCGGAGAGGACCGATCCGATGGGAAAGGGCAAAGGGGTTAAGGGAAACAAGCGCAGCCACCAACCAGCAGCCAGCGCAACACCCGAGCAGAAAATTATTCACGAATATAACACGGAACGACGAGGGTGGGCAAGTCTGGCAGATGCAGAGCCCAAGATAATCCTTCTAACAAGGAAAATTGGCGGAGCCCAAAAGCAGCCCGCCACAGTAGATAAGCAATTCCTGTGACCTTAAAGGATAAGATAAAATTTGCTGGAGTTTGGGTGGATCCCCGAACTTCGGCCCCCTACGTCCCTTGATCTGATTGGTGAGCTGGCTGATGAGTTACCACTGGGTAAAGTGGCCGACTCTTGGGTCTCTGGCAATTTGTATGGAACTCACTATGGCCGTCACTTAATACTACTATCACTATCCTACCAACCGCTCACTCCTGAACTAGTGACTCCTCCATTCTCCGGGTCTATCCCGTTTCTTTTTTCCCCGTCCACGTTGTCCGGTCGCTCTCGTCCGACTCCGGCATTCCCTTTCCCCCCCCCCCCCCCTCCATCTCTGGCCCATCTCCCATCGCTGTATATAACATTGCCCCCGTACCCCTCGACCAAGATTCTTCTTTCCCTCTCTCCTTCATCTCTCCAGCTCTCTCTCTCTGCCTCTTTCAAACCTTAATTGCATCTTTTTATTTGATCGCAAGCGCCGATCTCTTTTCCGACTATATACCCCAGGTTGAAAGCAGAGCATACAACAAAAAAAACCCGCCACAATGACCGCCCAGAACCTTCCTTACGAGCCCGAGTTCGAGCAGGCCTACAAGGGTATGTCAGAATAACCCATTGATTCTTTTTGTCACCTTTTACACGGTGTTCAACTGGACGGACATTTTGCCCCTCCATCCCTCTTTGCCCCTCCAAATCGTTTTGCCATCTCGGCATCCTCGGCAAGTGGTTCTTCGGGAACGCTGAGCTAATCCAATCCCGAACAGAGCTCGCTTCCACCCTCGAGAACTCCACTCTTTTCCAGAAGAAGCCCGAGTACCGCAAGGCTCTCCAGGTTGTCTCCGTTCCCGAGCGCATTGTTCAGTTCCGCGTTGTCTGGGAGGATGACAAGGGTCAGGTAAGAACAACTATAAAAATTCAACACCTCAATTGGCAGCTTCGATGCTAACCCGTTTTTTTTTTCTTTTCACAGGTCCAAATCAACCGCGGTTTCCGTGTCCAGTTCAACTCCGCTCTGGGCCCCTACAAGGGTGGTCTCCGTTTCCACCCTTCCGTCAACTTGTCCATCCTCAAGTTCCTCGGCTTCGAGCAGATCTTCAAGAATGCCCTGACCGGCCTCAACATGGGTGGTGGTAAGGGTGGTTCCGACTTCGACCCCAAGGGCAAGTCCGACAACGAGATCCGCCGCTTCTGCGTCGCCTTCATGACCGAGCTGTGCAAGCACATCGGTGCCGACACCGACGTCCCCGCCGGTGATATCGGTGTCACCGGTCGCGAGATCGGCTTCATGTTCGGCCAGTACAAGAAGATCCGCAACCAGTGGGAGGGTGTCCTCACCGGTAAGGGCGGCAGCTGGGGTGGTTCTCTCATCCGTCCCGAGGCCACCGGTTACGGTGTCGTCTACTACACCGAGCACATGATCAAGTACGCCTCCGGTGGTAAGGAGTCCTTCGCCGGCAAGCGCGTCGCCATCTCCGGCTCCGGTAACGTCGCCCAGTACGCTGCCCTCAAGGTCATCGAGCTCGGCGGTTCCGTCATCTCCCTCTCCGACTCCCAGGGTGCTCTCGTCCTCAACGGCGAGGAGGGCTCTTTCACCCCCGAGGAGATCAACGCCATTGCCGCTATCAAGGTCGACCGCAAGCAGATCTCCGAGCTCGCTTCCACCGAGGCCTTCGCCTCCAAGTTCAAGTACATCCCCGGTGCCCGCCCCTGGACCAACATCACCGGCCGCATCGACGTCGCTCTCCCCTCCGCCACCCAGAACGAGGTCTCCGGTGACGAGGCCAAGGCCCTGATCGCCGCTGGCTGCAAGTTCATCGCCGAGGGTTCCAACATGGGTTCCACCCAGGACGCTATCGACGTCTTCGAGGCTCACCGTGAGGCCAACGCCGGTGCCTCTGCTATCTGGTACGCCCCCGGTAAGGCCGCCAACGCCGGTGGTGTCGCCGTCTCCGGTCTCGAGATGGCCCAGAACTCTTCCCGCGTTAGCTGGACCTCCGAGGAGGTTGACAACCGTCTCAAGGGTATCATGGAGGACTGCTTCAAGAACGGTCTCAGCACTGCTCAGGAGTACGTTACCCCCAAGGAGGGATCTCTTCCTTCCCTGGTTGCCGGCTCCAACATTGCTGGTTTCACCAAGGTCGCTGAGGCCATGAAGGACCACGGTGACTGGTGGTAAATCAGTCGCCCTCCGTCCTGGATATACTGATCCATTCCTGATGGAATGAGGTATAAAAACGCTACATGGTTCTTTTGTCAACGCCACTTTTCATTCAATGGAGGGCGACGGCTTGGATCTGTAGTCATGCATTCTCCCCACGTTTTCCTTTTTTGTGTCGAGCGGGTATGGATAGAGGCGCCGGTTTTTTACTTTTCTTTTCACCCCCATTTCGTTCTTGGTGGCATTTGATATTCCCACTTGAGCATCGGGTTTGCTTTTGGAATAGTCCTGATGATAATGAAATTCAATGATCTATAAATAACTTTTTTCCACTGTAACAACCTTGAGGAACTTAAGTAAACAACGTAGATATGGATACTGCCAGTGGATTTATCTTGCACCGACTTCAGACCAACATAGACCTGTTGACATAGACCCGTTGAACTCAGAGATAGGAAAGATTTCTGGAGATCCGTAGAAAAATAAATTGAGAAGGGCGAGAATATTTAACAAAGCTAAGGTCCAGACACATCATCAACAAGGAAACACCGAATGAATCATCGCGCCAGAATCACTCCGTAGATCAAACTCGTTCGACACGGCATTCTAAATTTGTCGAGATCCTCGTTCTGATTTCCATGCCTCGAGAACTGGTTGCATTATATTGCCCAATACCGAACTGACAACTTGACAGAAATCTATCAGGAAGAGAAAAAAAAAAAAAAAAAACCGTATCACACGGCCAGCAGGCAGCGCATCTTATCCAAGATGATCTTGTTCACGTTGACTGCATCAGACACGTTGATGTTTTCGGTGGCTAGAGATGTTCCACTTACCGTAAAACATGTCCCTGTGAGACATACTAACTTCACGTTTGAATCTCTGGAATTGAATGAAAAGAGGCTGTGAACGGTGGAAAGTACTTCGTACCTAGTCTTATTCCTGGAGTACGTTGGCCCCATAGCCAATTTAGCCTTACCTTTTTGAGTGGTAGAATGGTCACCACCTAGTCAGCAATCTAGATTACTTTGTTTAAATTCATCATACTACGGTGAACTCACGATATCACAAGACACTTGTACTCCCGCTTTGAAATTTTTGCGGAGGCATCAGCTGCTGGCCAGAAATTATTTGGGGCATCCTTGTAGAATATACTGTCAGCGCATGTTAGTCCGTTACAGGTACTGTTTCTTCATGCATGTTTGCGACAGACAACTATGGCTGAGGCATCAATGGAAGAGAGTGTGCCTGGTTCTCAGTGCCTATTAGGCAGACACGTGACCCACTTATGAAAGATGGCCACGTGACCCCGGCCAAACAGAGCCGATCATCCCTCCGCCCAATTGGGGATGGGACTCCATTCACGTCAAGGCAGCGATGCACAACATGGCTTTATGATCGGTGTCTCCAATTATATAACCTGAACCTCGGGTATTCATCTCTGTTATGCCCATTCACCCGTCACAATGCTGTCAGATATGGCATCACACGATCAATGGAGAACCTTTGTCCAGCGATGTCTGGCACATCGCGTAGACGTCGATGAGTTCAAGGATCTATCAAAGTTGATGCAGAGCCGATCACCATTGAAAGAAAATGACCTGATGGATCTTCTCCTCGAGGCCCGCGCCGCATCCAGGATCGCCTGGGACCCGCTCCTGCCAGTCTACATTGATGGGCTGTGCAAAGTCGGCCAGGTCAAGACGGCGTCAGCTTTGAGAAGACTACTGGCGCATTCGTCCATTCGCCAAAAATCAGAATCAAAGCCTAAGATGTCAACTTTGATGACAGACATCAAGGTCATTCAGGATGTCATGCTTTCCATCTCGGCTGGAGCGATCCCAAAGCGCATCGCAGAGGCGGCAGAGCTTTTTGGCGCGACAGTGGAATGGATCATGGCTATTGTTGAGTGGCACAATACAAGTGTCTCACAGCATGCTGGTGGTCTGATGAGCTGTCCCGACGCCGTATCCTTGTTCGAGTCGCTCGGCATCTTACTTGCGGCTTTGTCCGGCACATCCAAGGGTCTGGAAACACTATCCAGCGACCATCATCAAGGTATGCCACCCTCATACATTCATCAGATCAAAGGTTCGAAGTCCAAGTTTTCCCCGTGCTAACCGTTTTTATAGAGTTGAAAACCAAGCTGGGACAAGCTCTCACTTCTTATCTACCTTTGTGCGTCGACGTATCCCTGCCTTTGCGTCACAGGCTAGACGCACTGCAGAAGGAGTTCAATCTGTACGGGGAGCAACCTTCCAAGCAACTAGACCATTCGGCTATCGAGGGCATGAACGTCAATGCCCTCCAGTTTGAGGCTTCGGTGATGAACGGGCCGCTCATCAACACTAGAGCTGGTCTCTACGTGTATATCAATTCCATGGTACGATGTGTTGCACCCTTATCTTTACCTGATACTGACTTGGTTTTAGCTTGTGGGACGTCCGTTGGTTGATGACTCAATTTTAATCAACTACCTCACCAATCGCTATGAAGTGAGTCTTCTGCACCCCTTTTACATCTCAATCCATCTTTGGTCAAGGAGCATGCCTGGTCCTAACTAACTTCTGATTCAGGGCCACCAAGAAGCCCTGGTGGTGGACATCACAACAGCTGCATTTGACGTCCTATGCAATGGCGTCCACCGCAATGAGTCCAGCCGGACGATGTTCCTGTTCCGGACTTTCCTGGTCAACAAACTCCCAGCGTTCTTTGTCGCATTGACGGCAGCATCGATGGTGCCAATCCCCATGGAGATGTGTATCACGCAAGCGCTCAGTCGGCTTGACCCAAATTCGTTCCCCTCATTCTCTCAAATGTTCTCCATGCAAGGGAGTAGCGTTCTCTCCGATGCCCGTCAGGAGTTCCTGTTTGCTTGCGCATCTCACAGACTCATCCAGGAGTCTAGTATTGAGCGGCTGCTAGGAGAGAACCCTATGCAGACCGTACCGGTGGGCGGTCCTTACCAGAAGGACGACCTCGTCTCACAGATCAACAACAGGCCCGAGCGCGCCGAACAGTTAATTGGTGAGATCGAGTCGATGGAGGGCAATGCAGGTGCCATTGTCGGAGCTATCACCGAGGTTTGTACTAATTACTTCACCGTCGTGGATCCGTTCTTGGCTGACAATCTTGTTAGGTCATGTTCAATCTTTGCAACCAGAAAGAGACAATGACTCTGAAAAACATCTGCAACTCCCTTTCTCGACGCCCACAAACCCTGGATGTCATTCTCTTGTTCCGGACTACAAAGCAAGTATTGCAACCTCTTTGCACTCTACTAGACTCCTGGCGATGGGATGAGGATCAAGGCGAGAACCAGCCCGTCTACGATGAATTCGGCAGTATCCTTCTACTGGTGCTTGTCTTCAAGTACCGGTACGACTTGAGCCCTGCTGACATGGGCATCTCGAGCAATGACTCGTTCTTGTTAAAACTGCTGGATCGTGGCTCTTGCAGCCAGAAACTGACCGAGTTGAGTGAGAAGCAAAACAAGGATCTTGGTTCGTGGATTGGGGCTTTGTTCATTGCCGAGGGCATCAACGAGGAGACAATGTCAACGTGTAGTCCACAGGAATTCTACATGCTTGTTGCGACTTTGTTCGATCAGAGTCTTGGAGCCTGCGAATCTGGGAAGCTGGACTTTGAGACGCTCAAGGGCGGATTTGAATGTGAGTTAGGATGCCATTCCCTTCTCGACTACTCCTTCTGACACATAGCTAGATCTTCTTGAGCCTTTCTTGCTCCCATCTTTGGTTGTGGCGCTCACTTGGCTCGGCAACCATATCTGGCAATCGGAAACCGAGCCCGAGATCCCTCTGAAGACTCTGTTCTCTCTGATCAAGCCCAATTCCATTTCTGGGGAAGCGCAAGCCATTCACAAAACCGTCTTGCATATCACCGCTCGCCCGTTGGAGGAACAACTGAAAGACGTTCGGACAAGACACCAAGCTCGGCAGAATATTGACAAGATCTCGGACATCAAACCAATCCTCGATGCCTTAGATCCATACCTCTCCTTCAGACGTGTCGGAAGCTGCCTTCGCTCGGAGCTCGAGGTTTGGGCCGCTCCCGCAGCGGGTGGTTTCCCTGGCAGTATTCGTGGAACACTCCAGGCCCTCACCTTGTGGAGCGCAAGCTCGGAGATCTCTCTTCAACCACATTCCTACACCCACCGTCAGCTGCTCGCTGGAATCCGCATCCTCGGCTCTGCGCGTGTTCTGGGTGCGCTTATCGACGAACTCAAACAGCAGACCGAAGCGGGCAGCGGCGACCTCGCCCTAGACATTGCGGCAACCATGATATGTGCCCCGATGCCCGAGTCATTTGCTGTCGACCAAAATATCTGTCATCCAGTGGACCCGACCAAAGAATCCCTACCACGCTGCGCAATTCTTACCCTCCGCGATGCTCTCTCCCTTCAACACGAAAATGTGCCCAAGATCTCCGAAAAGGACCCTCTCCGCGCACAAGTCATCGTCCGTCTCTGGCGCCGTGTCGGCCTCCTCGCTGCCCCGCCATCACGGGTGTCCAACATCGACGTTAGCAATATCATCCAGAACATGGAGCTCGGCGTCGAGGGCCAGGGTCGCATGAATCTTGACGCGACAGGTGGTGGCGTTGGCGATGCCGGCGTTGGCGACGATGATCCGGGCAACATCGACCAGATGCTTGACAAGGCCGCCGCAGCTGCCGCGGCTGGAATGGATGGTGGCGTTGGTCAGGACATGGAGCTTGATGGTGGCGTTGGCGGAATGGATGCGATCGATGATGTGCTCAATGCCGCGGATATGGCGGTGGGCAACCCAGAGTTCCTGGATCTAGATATGGAAGGCATGTTTTAGCGAGAGATTCTGTTTTCTGGTTCTTGTACAGTGGGGGGAGCAAATGATGCGATTCCCACTGTCTACGAGTAGATGTCTTCAATGAACTCTGCCGTTCTGGTAATTTCATATTAAACTTGGATATCAAAATGAATCTTTCAAACTCGTAAAACGTCGCTGACTGCACAATAAGCAACAAGCTAATACCACCAAAGCCCTCGCCTCTCTTTCGCAATTGCTGCCTTTCCTCGTATAACATCACGCTCGTACATTCTGTCACATTTCTCGTCAGTGATATCCTCAATACCTCACACCGAGGGGCATCATACAGAGATTCAATCCTTTCTCAAGGTTTCCCGCAATCTTGGGAATCCCTGAGCCAGGAAACATCTTCTCAAGCAAATCCATTGGCTTGGGAATGAGTGCTCGGCGCGATTCAGCTGGTACAGGAGCAGCCGCAACAACCGAGGAGAGGGAGATAACGGCGAGAATGGCAGTCAGCTTCATGTTGAATATGTTCGTG